TAGTGCCTGGTGAGTGGTGAGATCCATGCAGGTGGCTCTGTTATTCAGTCAGTACTTATGAGTGAGTCTTCTGCACAGGACGCCTGTAAGGCTGCAGAGCAAGGTCGGAATAACATGGCCCAGACTTTCAAGGGAGACCCAGAGAGGCAACGTTATGGCAGCACCTTGGGTCCCACAGAGCTGTCATGGCACCCAGAGGAGGTTCTCATAACGGTATAGGGGTCTGGGTGACAGGGGAGGTGAGCTGTGGGTCCAGCATGAAGGATGAGTGTCCCAGGAGAAGAGGACTGGCTTGGGCAGGCGCAGAAGCAGGGAAAAGGCCGGGCTGGAGGGACGGCTCCCGGAGCGAAGAGCCTGGCGGTTCGGGCAGAGCAGGAGGCAGGAGATGGGAGTGGGCAGGCAGGTGCCTGGGGACGGCAGTCTATTAACAACAGTAACCAAGCCTCGCTGTTAACCCATCCACATTCGGGCACAGGGTCCAGCAAGGACATGCACCGCCTTCACTTCCCACAAGCCCGTCAGTGGGTGCTGGGCTGGGCCTGTTCCATAGATGAGAACTGACAGGAGAGTGGATGATGCCCGCCCAGGCCCCTGGCCACAGAGCTGACGCGGCCCCAGGTGCTCATGGAAGCTGGGCGCCCTGTGAGTCATCACACAGGAGCCAGGAGGAGGTGCTGCAGGAAGGCGGCCGCACAAAGAGCAGTGGGAAGGGCGCAGCTGTAGGTGCGGGTGCAGAGAGCTGCCTGTGCCTGGCCCCGCATTCAAGGACTCAGAGAAGATTCCAGAATAATGATGATAATGACATAATAACAATATTATTGGTAAGATGGTCATTAAAAGTTCACTATGTAAGACACATTTCAGGGGCATCACAGGAGTGAGTGGCACCATTCATCCACCTCGAAAGTGAGGTTCTGCCCCTTTAAGCAGCTCCTGGCAGGTGGCATCGGTTGGCCTCGTGTATTCCAGTGGCAGGAGGGGCCGTGGAGCCCTGTGCGATGCCAGGAAGTCTGCCTTGTTTGTCTGAGCCTTGGCCTTGGTCAATGGCAGCGGCCCTGGGGGCGGAAACCTGTTATTGTTGATGCCAGTGAGTTGCCACCATAGTTGCTGAGACCAGCTTTGCTCCGTGGACATTTGGCACTTTCCGGTTTGAGGTTCAAGGCCGTGGGGTAGTGAGCGAGCCGCATGCAGCCTTGGCAGAGGGAGCACGGAGAGCTTGGAAAGGAACTGAGGGGCCAACCCTCCGGGACGCAGGTCAGGGTCCCTGGGTGCGGCCTGGAGTGCAGGCAGGAGGGAGGAGGCATGGGGCGCTCCGGAAGGTAATGGGATCAGCTAAAGGACGACTTTGAAGGCCTTTGTGGAGTCGCAGGATCAGGTGGAGGAGGTCCGGGACGCCGGTCTGGGCAATGCTGGCAGGATGAGCGCCCACCTCCCTGTGCCCCATTCACAGCTTCCCACGGGCTTCCTGGGACGGTCCTGGCATCCCAGCATCTGGTCAGACCCGCCAATCTCTGCAGCCGGGACAGGCACTGTGCCAGGGATGAGGAGTGCCCATCATTAGCAGCAGGAAGATTGAACAGCACTTGAGGCAGCATCTGACTCAGCTCCTGTGCTGAGGCCAGAGATCGCCCTGGACTAATTGGATGTATGAGGGCCAGGGCCCCTCCGAGAGCAGCTGTGCAGCCCAGGTGAGCCCGAGGGAGTGAGGACGACCCTGAGAGAGTGAGACTGCACTGACCTGGGCCGGAGCACAGCCAGGCAGCTAGCGTGAGGCCTCTCGCCTTCGGTTAGGAAGGGGGTGTGGCTGGGCTTTGGCTTCTCTCACAGGGCAGCTCGGTTTATGCTGCCTCACTTGCGTTTTCTGATTCCCAGCCCTGAGCTCTAAGGGCGAGGTGGGCCCTCCCTTGCCTGCCTCCATTTGGGCACTGTCACCCCTTCTTCCAGACAATTCCAGGAACAGGAGCATGTTACTCTCCCTTGCTGCCCACTCTCGGGCTGGGTGGGCCCTGAGTTTTGGGCCCCAGCCACAGGTGATCAGGGAGGCAGCTAAGTGGTTAGGGGTGATCTGGCAGGCAGGCGAGTGGTTAGGGGCTATCAGGTAGGCAGGCAGGCAGAGGGGTTAGGTGTGATCAGGTAGGCAGGCAAGTGGTTAGGGGTGATCCGACAGGCAGGAAGGCAGATGGGTTAGAGATGATCAGGCAGGCAGGTGAGCAGTTAAGGGCAATCAGGCAGGCAGGTGAGTGGTTAGGGGCAATCAGGCAGGTAGGCAGGCAGGCAGGCAGGCAGGCGAGTGCTTAGGAGCCAGTGGTCCTGGATTGCAAGAGGATATCTGATGGCCAGTTTAGGCCCAATCCCACAGGGATTTGGCAGTCAGACCTGAATGGGTCCCAGATTGTGAGAGGGTTTTAGGCTGGGCTGAGGGACTCCTCCCTTGTGCACAAATTTTGTGCATTAGCCCTCTAATCTATAATAATAAAAGCGTATTATTCTAATTAGACTGGATGATGTTCCAGACAAAGCCGGGCTGTGAGGGCTGAGCCTCTTGCACAAATTTCGTGCACTAGGGGCGGGGGGAATCCCCCAGCCTGGCTATCGCCCTGTCACAGTGTGGGAGCCCTGCAATCCATCACCCCAAAGAGGTAGGCCACGCCCACCTATCCGGGGCTCCTCTGTGGATTGCCCCAAATAGATAGGGGGGCAGGGACAAAAGCCTCATGCCCCCTGGTCGGCACATGGGTCCAGGGATGGGGAAAAAGCCTCATATCTCTGGTCTGGCATAGGGGTCAGGGACTCAAGCCTCATGTCTCTGGGCCAGCTCAGGGGTGGGGACACGAGCCTTGTGTCCCAGGGCCTGTTGCTGGGGGCAGTTACATGAGTCTCATGTCTCCGGGCCAGTGCAGGGAGCGGGCAAGCAGCCTGCTGATCTTTCATTATGTGATGGCGTACAGGCCAATTTGCATATTATTATTAGGTAGATATATAGTGATTTCTCTCGCTATCCTGCTTCTGTTTATTCCCCAGCACCGCATTCTAAGGATCCACTATTTTTAAATTCATATGAATACTTGCAGAGTTTCTTTATGCATGCATATGGAAATACTAATATATATATTCTTATTGTCCCCTATTTATATTAAAACATTATCACATTTTACACATTTCTCAGCACCTAGGTTTTTTCACTTAACAGTGTATATTTTCTCCTCAGTCACAATGGAGTCTCCATTGCTCCCCCAGCTGCAGGGACTCCAGGTGTGGGTTTGTGGAGTCTCCACATTTCCTCAGCTAGTCCCTTGCTGGGGGACAGTTGGGTTGTTTTCCGTCTGTTGCCGTTACCCACAGTGCCTCTATAGTGCCTCATACATAAATGTTCATACATGTGCAATAATAGCCACAGAATAAAGACTTGGGAGTGAAATTGCCAGGGCAAGAAGTAGAAGCCTTGCCCCAGCCCGTTTGGCTCAGCAGACAGAGCATCGGCCTGCGGACTGATGGGTCCCGAGCACAAACCCAGGTTGCGGGCTCAATCCCCATATACTTAAAAAAAAAAAAAAAAAAGCAGCCTCTGTAACCCTGAGAGTCCCCCTTATTCTGACTTGCAAGTTGTTTCCCACCGGGAAGGGTTTCACTCGCACCAGCTGTGCTTCTGAGCACCTGACTCCTACACCCTGCCCAGAATGGCTTTGCCTTAAATTTGATGATTGCTGTTCTGATATGTGGAGCAAGGAAGGGCACTGCGTTTTCATTTGGGTTCCTTTCATGAGTTTCATTTTCATTTTTTAAAAGTATGTTTTTATTGGTTTCAGAGAGGAAGGGAAAGAGATTGAAATATCAGTGATGTGAGAGAATCATTGATCAGCTGCCTCCTCCACACCCCACTCTGGGGTGGAGCCCACAACCTTTGCGTGTGCCCTGACCAGGAACAGAATGGTGACCTCCTGGTCCGTAGGTCGATGCTCAACCACTGAGCCCTGCTGGAAAGGCCCTTTCATGAGTTTTAGCATGTTTTAATGTAAGAGCCTTTCCTCTTGCCTACGAAACTATTTACCACCTTCATTCATTCTGATTATTAGCAGTCAGCCATATTCTTACGGATTTCTAGAAATTCTTTGTGTTAGGAAGAGAGCCTGTCCTAGTGACTGTGCCTCCCTGGCTGGGCACTGTGACCAAAGACCAGAGCTTCTGAGAGGGGCTGCCCTCAGGGCGGCTAGAGCCAGTAGGATGCATTTGGAAGAAGACTGAAGGCCATTCCAGAAAGCCTGTGGATTCCACCCCACATGCAGCATCAGGAACAGATTTCACATCAGGACAATCTGTTCGCAGGTTTTGGTTGGCTGCTCACTAATGTCAGTCAGGGAAAGGCACTGAGCATCTTGCCTTTTTACATAGAAAACCAAGATGCTGGATGCTGAGTGCTTTTCCCTGGGTGAGGGTGTCAGCAGCTCCTCAGCCGTCACTCTGGGTGATCCTGGGAAGGAGCTGATGCTCTGTGATTGAAGACAGCTCTCAGGTGACCTCACTTGGCCTCCTGAAGGCCGGGTGGTGGCAGCAGGAGCGAGCACGGACAGTAATGGCCCTTTGGGGCTCCCAGGGCCACTCCCAGGTCCTGCTCATGAGACGGGATCTGCTGGGTTTGAACTCGTGAACCACACAGCTGTGAGTTGGGCTCTCAGGCAGAAGTTTACAGGGATTCTCATATCCTACTAGCCATGCTAGACTGTGCAGCCAGTGGGACCAGGTGTAAGCCACACAGCTGTTCGCTCCAGGGTGGACAGGGTGGACAGGCTGGCCCCAGTGTCTCCAGGGACATTGAACTTTGTTCATCTCATTGTCCCACCTTGGCCCAGGGTCAGGGCAGACCTGCACACATCCCTGAGATGAGCAGAACTGGTCCCAGTTCAGCGTGAGGATGGGGTACGCTGAGAGCCTGGACACTACTGCGTCCTCCCTTTCCCTGGAACAGAACGCCTTTGCCTCACCAGGACCATTTTCCTCCACAGCTCAGGGGAGACTGTCACCAGCGTGACCAGCCTGGCCCCCTTGCAGCCCAAGAAGGGCAAGCGGCGGAAGGAGAAGGCTGACGTTCCCCCTGAAGTCCCCGCCAAAGGTAGGCAGCGGTGTGCCTTCCCGCCAGAAGGCACCGTGGCTGGCCCGGCAGTGGGCCAGGCGTGAGACGTGGCCTCAGGATCGGGAGAGGAGGCGGTGGAGAACATGACATCTGTGATCATATGGTCCAGAGAACCCCACCGAGATTCTGGTCACAGCCGAGCCCCATCCCCGTTGTGGGTGGGGAGGTCCATGGGGCCAGCATGGTGTTAGCTGGGAGGGGAGGTTAACATCCACAGACTGACTCCGCAGTGGACTTCACTTTCAGCTACCAGCCCGCTCTGCACACAGTGGGGAGGGGCAGGGGGTCCCATCATCTTGGTTCGCTCAGGGGAAGGGGGCCCTCTGATTGTTTTAGAGACGTAAGCCCGGTAGGTAACTTACTTTGGACTCGTTCTGAGGATGAAAGGAAGGTTATTCTTTGATTCCAGTTGTGACTTAGAGGAACGTAAACGAGGAGGATGGGTGTTTCTGGAGGAGAGAAAATAACTGGCCAATGTAAGAGAAGTCCAGACTTCAGGGAATTGGAAGTGTAGTTGGAAGGACCAGGATTGCCCGGTGAACCATTTAAAAATGAGGCACGATGCGTTTTGTCCCTCAGTTGGGGTTCCAGGGTGTCCTCCAGGGACACTCGGAGCCCTGGGCTGGGGCTGAGCCGTCCCCGGAGGCAGAGAGGCGGAGGGGCTTGCACCTGCAAGGCACAGGAGTGAGGATTGGGGAGGGTGCAGAGCCCTGCCTCTGTGACTGTGAGCTGCTGCATGTCCCATTCAGTCAGCGCAGAGGGTGCCCTCCCTGAGGGGTCCCGGAGTGTGAGAGGGTGCAGGCCGGGCTGAAGTGACCCAAGACCCACGTAATAGAGCCTGGCTTTGAAGTGAGGCGTGTCTGACTTTCAAGGCCAAGTTCAAGCCTCAGATCATCCATAAACTAGTTACATGACCTTGGGGAAGGCCCCAGTTTCCACCCTCCCTGGTGACCAGTGAGAACTGCTGTCAGCGTTGGTGTGCAGCAGGCCCGCAGGGCGGTACCACGCAGCCTCGGCCTGCCCTCCTTCTCCCTGACTGCAAGACCACCTGACCACCTGTGGAGGCAGTGTTTGACGGGACCAGATGATGGGAGGGATGGGCATGTCCAAAGCCTAGAAGGGCCACCCCCTGGTACCCCGATCCCAGCCCAGAGTTCTCCACAGGGCGGGAGGAGTCCAGGAGTGCACAGAGGGTGTCTGTGGTGCTCCTGGTGTGTGGGTGTGGGGAGCCCGAGAGGAATCCCGAGCTGAACGCTGACTGACTCCCACAGCGCCCACCGCCACCACGCCCCACAAGCTGAAGCTGCTGAAGCCACAAAGGAGAGACGCCCTGGTGAGTGACCCAGTGTGGCTCCTTGTCCCCAAGCCTTGCACACACTTCAGGCCCAGTGGTCCCTTGTTGACCTGAAGCCTGCGGGGACTCCCTGTGCCAGGAGGGGTCACTGTGCCGGGGCAGGGAGCGCTGTGCCTAGGGGGTGGGGGGTTTGCTGTGCCTGGGTGTGGTTGCTGTGCCCAGGTGGGGGCGCTGTGCCTGCTCACCAGCCCTGGCACCGCTCCCCTACCTGCTTAGTCCCCTCCTGGCTTCTCTGCAATCCAAGTGCAGTCCTTACCCTAAGGGCTGCTTTCCTCAGGAGAAGGAAGAACTCACCCTCAGGAATATGTAAGTAGGAAGTGGACCTGCTTGTATAAGTAGGAAGTGGACCTGCTTGTATAATCACAGTGAAGAACTTACAAGATGGTGTCGCTTATATTCTGAAATAATTGTAGATTACAGAGGAGGTGAGCTAGTCCGTGTCCATCCCCCAGCCCCACTCCCCTGTGGGAGCGCTCTCTCCAGCTGCAGGGCACCCTCAGAGCTAGGCACTCTCCCTGCTCATCATGTCCACCATCTCAGATCTGTCTGTCAACCACCTCAGGTCTGACCGAGGCCCCTCACTGCTGTCTCCTCGGACCCGAGCTGGAGAGGCACTGCACTGGGTGTCATGCCCCTCGCCTTCCTCAGGAGTCCTTGTCCTGTCCTGTCCGCCCAGGCCTCAGAGTTCTGAAGAGCAGTAGCCAGTTAATGCTGCTCAGAATGTCCTTGAATTGTGTTCCTCTGAGCTCCTCTGATGACTGGAATGGGTTGTGGATCTGGGGAAGAACAGCCCAGAGGAGCATGATGCCACTGCATCTTACTCATGGTGTGTGTGTGTGTGTGTGTGTGTGTGTGTGTGTGAGAGAGAGAGAGAGAGAGAGAGAGAGAGAGAGAGAGAAAGGAAGAGAGAGAGAGAGACTCTTCGTCGCCTGCTTAAGGTGCTGACTGCAGGCCTCTTCAGTGTCACGTTTCTGTTTTCCTGTTTTGTGGTGTTAGAATCCACTCTCGGTCCAGTTCACACTCAAGGGAGGGGAGTTAAGCTCCGCCTCCTGAGGGAGCAGCTGCAAAGAATTTGTAGACCTGTCAAAACCACTGCAGTAGTTAATATTCTGTCCTGTCTCGGTAGTTCAGGTCCTGATGCGCCAAGGATGTGGGTTCAATCCCTGGTCAGGGCACATACAAGAAGCAACCAATGAATACATAAACAAGTGGGACAACAAATCAATGTTTTTCTTGCTCTTTCTCTCTCTCTCTAAAATCAATCGATTAATTAAAATTTAAAATAAGTAAGTATTTTAGGGGAGATCCATCAAGGCTATGCAGATATTCTGTTACCCCTAGACTTGGCCCACTACCTTAGCATTCATCGGTGGAAGTTGCTACGGTGTATTAATGGTGATTTGCTATTTTCCTCAATCTGTCCGCATTTACTATTTGAAATTCTTTTGTAAGGAGCAGATGGACCCCTTACCTTATCTATTTATTCACTAATTTCTTTATATCAGTGTTGGTGTTGGGTATTTTATGGTCTTTGTAATCATACTGTTGCTTCCTATTGTTCATCAGTTGTGCAGGAGAGAGAGGGAGAGAAACTGGCAAAACTATTCTGAAATGTGTATGAACTGCCAAGGACCAAGCTATTTTTGAAGGAAAAGGACCCAGAAGTTAATACCAACTCCAAAGGATTACATTGAAGCACAGTATGTTAGTATGGTGCTAGCACAGAGGTAGATAAATAGACCAACAGAACAGAATCAACAACTCCAAACCGATCTACACGTCTGTCCTCCCTGACTGATTGCAGAGGTAATGGGCCTCTTGGACCATCCAAACCACGGAGATGAGAGCCCCTATCTCCACCACACACAGACTAGAGAAGGAGCAGGAGACTGAAGGAACAAGGAAAAACAGTTTCCTAAAGATAGCATGCCTCCCGAACGCCGGGGTAGGCACAGGTTTGTTATGTTGGAATTTAGAAGGTCTGTTGTGATTAAAGCTGTGAATACACGAATGAAAAGACAGGCCAGAGACTGGGTGGCGTATCTGTCCTCCGTACGTCTGACAAAGGACTGTAGAATACACGACACCAATGAAGCAAGAAGTGACAGCGTCACGGAAAGGGGAGAGTCAGAAACGTGCACGTCATAAAGAAGAGGTGCACATAGCATAAGCTCGTGAAAACAAGTCCCTCACTGGCATCACGGCGACACAGGTGGAAGGCACGGAGCAGTTCACTCTGCCAGGAGGCTAACACGGAATACTTGCACTTTTATGCCTGTTTTTCTCTGAGCCATTTGGAATTTAGGAACAATCCAGTTCTGTTTGTCAGATTCTTTTTATTTACTTCCTTTTAGATTTCAGTAATCTGTGCTTGCTAGTTTCATTGGTCTTAGCACTACCTTGTAAACAACTCTTTAAACTTAGCCTTTACTTTCTGGTGTTCAGTGTCTTCCCCTTTCTGTTCGAGAAGCTGGCTCACCAGTTTTCCAAAGGCAGCCTTTGGCCTGCAGTGCGTTGTGGGCTCAGACAGTGTGAGTCCACTTGGTTCACATAAGAAATCCATCACCAGTTCTGGTCTGTGGACACACATCCCTGAGTTTGGCGGCAGAGGTGTCGCCGAGTCCAGCAAATCTCGGGCATGCAGTCGGCCTTCGAGGCCGGGCTGGACAAAAGGAACACCTCTCCTGTGCCAGTCCCTGAGACACAGTCTCCCCGAGATGGACAGGCTGAGCTTACCGCCTCTCAACTGCACAGGCCACGGCAGGTCAGTATGAGCCTGCGTGTATCTATCAGCTCTTTCATTCTTTTTTATTTATTTGTTTTAATAAATCTTTATTGTTCATATTATTACAAATGTTCCTCATTTTTTTCCCCTCCATTGCTCCCCATCCTACCCTCTGCCCTTTCCCCACCCCCCATTGTCCTCATCCATAGGTGCACAGTTTGTGTTCAGGCTCTTCCTGCAACCCCCTCTCCCCTTTCCCCTGAGAATCATCAGTCCACTCCCCTTCCATACCTCTGATTCTATTATATTCACCAGTTAATACTGTTCATCAGGTTTTTTAATTCCCTTGCCTTTTAGTTTCACTTGTTGATAGTTACGTATTTGTTGATCATAATTTTTATCTATATCTTCTTCCTCTTCCTAAAGAACCCCTTTCAGCAATCATATAATTCTGGTTTGGCAGTGATGAACTCCTTTAGCTTTTTTTAATTTGTGAAGCTCTTTATCTGGCCTCAATTCTGAGTGATAGCTTTGCTGGGTAGAGTATTTTTGGCTGTAGGTTCTTGCTATTCATCACCTTGAATATTTCTTGCCATTCCCATCTGGCCTACATGGTTTCTGTTGAGAAATCAGCTGACAATCGTATGGGTGCTCCTTTATAGGTAACTACCTGCTTTTCTCTAGCTGCTTTTAATATTCTCTCTTTGTCTTTTGCTCTTGGAATTTTAATTATGATATGTCTTGGTGTGGTTCTCCTTGGATTCCTTTTGTTTGGGGTTCTGTGCACTTCCTGGACTTGTAAGTCTATTTCTTTCCCCAGGTGGGGTAAGTTTTCTGTCACCATTTCTTCCAGTATTCTTTCGGTATTTTGCTCTCTCTCTTCTTCTGGGACCCCCATAATTCTGATGTTGGTTCGTTTGAAATTGTCCCAGAGGTTTCTTACACTATCTTCAACTTTCTGGATTCTCTTCTTTTCTTGCTTCTGTGGAGGAGTGTCCTCTGGCTCTTTGTGTTCTAAATCTTTGTCTTGATTCTTACGATCTTCCATTCTGTTTTTAGGACTCTGTATAATCTTTTTTTATTTCAGACAATGTATTTTTTATTTCTAGTTGATCCCTTTTCATATCCTCATAGGTCTTGTTTATTTTGATGGCCTTTTCTAGGAAATTCTTGAAAAACCTTATAAGTGTGGTTTTGAACTCTATATCCAGTCTCTTCTTTTCCTCCTTTTCTTTTGTTTGTGATCTATTTCCTTTTCTCGGCATTTTCACAGCTTCCCTGAGTTGGTAGGGTGGCTTTGTGTGCTAAGGTGTCCTATATGGTTCAGTGAGTCAGCCTCCCAGTTACCTGCGGTGGACAGTCTTGGTGTAGCCCTTTGTGGGCTGTGTGTGCAATCTTGTTGTTAAGCCTTACTTATTGTTGGTATCACTGGGAAGCATTGATCTCCAAGCCAATTGGCTATGAGGATCAGAAGTGTCTCAGCTAGGAGGGTTTCTGTATTCCTCTTGAATGGGGCGGAGTCTTGGGGTGGGACAGACAAGCTTTGTTGAATCCCGCACAATTGGTTGCAGGTGCGCGCACCTCTTTGTTATAGGCACAGACAAGCTTTAGGTTCCTGTCTGTCACTCCCTAGGAGAGTCCCATTCCCTGAGAATGAGAAAGCTAGCCCCTTTTTTGTGCTCCGCTTGGATGGGGCAGAGTCTCGGGTGGTGCAGACAAGCTTTATTCAGCTCCTCCCTACGAGGGTCTGGTTTCTGAGTCCCGCAGTAATGGCCGCTGGCTTCACACACCTCCGAGAGATCTCTGCCCACTGCCTGACAGTCTGACCTCTCCTTGTCTGGTGCCGTCTATCAGCGCAATAGGGTGGTTCTGTTTTCCTCCGGAACAAGAAAGCTAGCCTCGCATTAGCTGTCCGCCCTCTCCTCGCGCAGGGAGTAAGCTGGTAGTGAACTCGGCCCGCCCTCTCCGTGCTCTGCAAGCAAGCCAGCAGCGAAGTTGGGCGGCCGCCTTTTCGCGCGCGCAGTTCATCGCACCTTCACAGTTCCTGAAGTTCAGTGTGCCTTCTCTCTCCTTCCCAGATGGTAGAGCCTCCTCTCAGCCAGCCGTCTGGTGCTTCAGGGCGATATTTCCCCTGTTTTTCAGTTCTAAATTCATATTATTTTATGAATTTTATTCATATTTCAGTTCTAAAATCATGTTGTGGTAGGCTGCATTCGGGTGTCTACCCTATGCTGCCATCTTGGTTTTCTCTCTT